AAAAGTGTCTACTAAAGTAAGAGAATACATGAGTGTATCGGAGATGACGATGTTGAGATGGATGAGTAGCAAGATAATAAGGGATATAATTCAAAATGAATCTATTTGGGAGAATTTAGATGTAGCACCAATAGGCGACAAGATGAGAGAGCGTACACTTAGATGGGCTGCTGGTCATGTGTAGCGCCGACCAAATACAGCACCTGTTAGGAGGTGCAAGTTAATTCAAGTGAAAGGATTAAAAAGGGCAAGGGATAAGCCCAAAAAGACCTGATTGGAAGCAGTTTGAAAAGATATGGGGACTTAATAGATATGGGGGCTTATGGACTCACTGAGGGTATGGCCTTTAATAGAACAAAATGGCGGACCAGGATTCGTGTAACCAACCCTAATTAATTGGGAAAGGCTATGATGATGATGATAACCTAAATTTCCAAAAAGACTATTACTCTCTTCCTAAACTACCCCTACTTAATTTTTTACCTCTGAAATTCCGGCAAAAGGTTTTTTATTAACATAATTTTCAAACGGCATAAACTAAGGACCTACAAGAGTTAGAGGCTATGATGCGGATTCTTGCCAGGTCATAAGAATGTTGCTCCAAATGCTACTCAAGTCCACCAGAGGAAGAAAACCTATCAAATGTGATCAACTGAGATAGGCATTAATTGCACCCACCTAATGGATCACAGATATTGTGGACAGGATTGCCAATATTAGCTAACATGAGGGTCTCTTTCTCTCATATCTTCTGAGAGGCCAACTACGAGGCAAACTCCCTTGCTAAGAGTAGAGAAAGACGGGAGGAACCGAGAATACGAGATCCTACGCTTCTATCTTCTTGGTGGTATATGTGACGCACACAACATTTAAGAACTTAAAAATTGCCACTCGTAAATAGAATGAAGGACAGCTGATATGACTATATCCATGTCGCTTTTTTCTTATACTGAATTCTACCATAGTTTGGGACATTTATAACTCACTAAAAGAAACAATTTAACGAAAAATAGGGTGCAATTACATATCTCAAATATTAGGATAATTAAAAGCAAAACAAAAAAGAGGAGATACAGTTTCAACCATAAGTAAGTTAATCACCATCGAAGAGACTTTATCCCAAAAGAAAATCCATGAAACCAAAATAAACACTAAAACATTCATAACATCGCATTGCAGTTCAAAGCAACTTGGAAAGGGTAAGGAAAATCACCAAAGAGAAAATTAAGAGAAAACACACAATTTCTCTCTACAATAAAAAAATTTTGTCACTCAAAACAAAAACTAGGGGCGGCAACGGGTGGGGTATGGCTGGACCCAGACATGAATAGCATTAGGGTCAAAAACTCCTGAGTCCATTGCCACTCTACGACTATGAGCTTATTTTTATTTTTTTTGCCCTTTTTTTACCATAATATACCATTTGATTATGAGCTTCTTTTTTTTGCCAATAATGCAATAAATGTTGCCAATATTGTGACAAAATGAACACCTAGCACGCGCCTAAAGACACATGATTGCCATCATATTCCCTATGACTACAAATATGGGTCGGGTACGGGTCGGGTCCGATTTGACCCGGACCTAGACCCAAAGAGTATTCATGTCCAAAATTTGGACCCATACCCGAACCCGAGGTCGGCTATACCCGTCAGATCCTAGGCCTAGTCAGGTCCATTACCACCCTAACAAAAACCATCTTACAATGGATGTCCCATCCTCCTATCAATACACCATTCCTAGTCTATTACAGATAAGCTTCCTATTATCTCGTTCATTAGTTCCTATTAAGAGATAAAACCTTTCTTCTGAATAGATAACTTGCCACCTCATGCCACTAAAAACAAAACAGAATTTTCCCAAAAAGATAACCGCCTTAAAAGATAAGCCCTCCTTAAGATAAAAACATACCTCCCACTAAATATGTTCCCTGTAAAATAGGAAACTAACAAAATCTAAAAAAACCAAGTTAATCCTAATAAATCAAAATTTAGCACCCTAACCATAAAATAAAATAAAAATTCATTCTAAACCCTATATGATAATTCCTAAAAAACTTAACCATAAAAAAATAAAGAAATAATTAAGTCCCCTATAATTGAGAGAATAAAAATATTGAACCCTATTTCTTAACCTGCATCATTCTCCCTTGGTTGGAGAAAACTTCCCCTTCAGTTTTTTAATGAGCTAAGATGCATTACATGTTAAACCCATGATCTTCTTCAACCTTGAAGGCCTTGTCGCGATCCTTAGAACAATATTCAAACTTTTCCATCTCTAGATATACAACCACTCGATAGGATATGTGTTGACCATCAATCGTTTTATCAATGAAATAAGATGCATATTCATCATCAACCTCCATGAGTTTTTTGTAACTCTTGATCATATTCTCAAATTCCTCAAATGTTGTATTTCTAGCCTTCCTACTTTCTGCCTCCCTCATCACCCTATTTCTTTCTTCCCCTAAAATCTCCATAAGCTTGATATCTTCTAGGTTCAAGTCAACATCTTGCTTCTCCATCTCTCCATTGATGAGAAGGTTAGATATCCTTGCTGCCTCAAGCCTAACTTATTTCCTTTCATCTTGGTCTTCATCAAATATAGGACCCTCATAAAAAAATGGGGCCACCCATGACATCAAGGAATGATAATTCTAATTGAAAATAATGGCCTACTTTTTCTTCACCTTCAACTAGTTCTTCATGAAACTAGGTCAACATCAATGTTGAAATCCCACAATCTACTCTCCCAAGCATGAGGCTCCCAACGCGGAGAGCACCAAGAGAACGCACTCTCAAAATAGCTTCCGACTCACAACAGCCATCATCATGTGTCGAGGCTGATTCACGCCATTATCCATAAAAAGCCTCAAGATTTGGATCTATCCACGCAAATTCCTCTTTATTTAGGGCAAGTTGTTGTTGTTCTTGTTTGCGCAACAACCATGTAACTCTCACCGTCAAGTAATCAATTTCCTTGGGCAATCGGATCAGATCGGCATCACTAGGGGCTAAGACCTCCACGACCAGCCATTGCAATCTCCATCCGTCCTTGAACCATGCTCTAATACCAATTTGATGCAGGGAAAATACCTAAAAGAGAAAATTAAGAGAAAACACACTCTCTCTCTACAATAAATTTTCTTTCTTTCATTCAAATCAAAAACCATCTTACAATGGACGTCCCACTCTCCTTATGTCAATACACCCTCTCTAATATTTAAAGATAAGCATCATATTATCCCGTCTATAAGTTTCTTTTAAAAGATAAAACATTTCTTCCTAATATATAACTAGCCATCTCACGCCCCTTAAAAAAAGAACTACAGACTCTTCCCAAAAAGATAACCTACTTAAAAGATAAGCCCTCCTAAAGAAAAATATGTAACTCCCACTAAATATGCTCCCCATAAAACAGGAAACTAACAAAATCTAAAAAAACCAAGTTAATCCTAATAAATAAAAATTTAACACCCTACCCATAAAATAAATAAAATTTCATTGTAAACCCTATACAATAATTCCTCACAAAAAATTGACCCCTAATAAATAAAGAAATAATCAAGTCCCCTAAAATTGAGAGGAATAAGAATATTGGACCCCAACTCTTGATCTGCATCAGTATAGTATATGTACCATGTTGATCAATTTTATGCATGTACCATGAGAAGGGACCATTCCTCCTCTCAGACATGAGTAGAGGAACAGTTGATGACACACATCCATTGTTGACAAAGAATGTCTCATAGGTACATGTACCAAATAGAAACAATGAAGTATTTGTACCATGATATACTTGGACATTTTAGAAAATCAGATTCCAAAAACTAACAAAACTTGCAAGAAATGGGATTATAATTACTTCTCTCATGATAGAAATTTTCTTAAATAAAAATAAGGGAAAAGGCAAACTATAAACCATACCTAAGATATCAGCTATTTAACATACACCCATTTATCAAAACACACCTGAAATATCAACTATTCAAATTCATGATTATGTGTCCTATGAGTAATTTTTTATACATTTCCTAAAGGCACAAGATTCTAGTGTTAGAAGCTACTTGAAGCAAGATATAAAAAATAAGTAAAATTTTATGCATTGTCGTTTACAACAGGTAACTAAATATCACCTTCACTGGCCATTGTCAAAAACAGAGCGTTGAAGTGACCAGCTGCTCACTGCCCATTTTAGTAAAAAAGCGTTGATCTCAAGCATCCTTTGACAATGGACGGCAAAGGTGACTGATTGTTTACTGCTTGTAAACTACATGCATCAACAGCGCACTACATGCATGATGCATCTATGAAAACCGCATGCATCACAGACTACTATCCCAAGAAAATAAAATAACTCGCTTTAAAAAAACCAAAGATGAAATTAACTATACAATTGAAAGAAGGAAAGGATTCCTATAATGGGACTTCAAGTACCAATACTAAAAGAATACTCTCAAAATAATAAATAGTTTAATAAAACTGGAGTTTTCATTAAATATTATCCATATTTCCAGGTAGTAAAAAACAACAAGGATCTCCATATTGAATAAAGAATAATAATAAAAGTGAAAAAAAATAAGAAGTCGAGAAAAGACAGCAGTTTAATCCACACATAATAATTCAATCAAAATTTTCAACAAAACTAACAAAAATTTAAGGAATTTAGAACACCTTCAGCTGTAAACATGACACTTAAAAAGAAAAATATGATGATTCTAGCAAATTAATCGAAAAAATAAAAAGTGGGTTTTATTCACCAAATGGAATAAACCCTCCCCAATGTCCAATTCAATTCAATTCAATTCAATTCAATTCAACAAAATAAACAAAGCATTTCAAGAAAAGACACATTGTAATGCACAGATGATCAATTCAGAACCCTGATATCAAAAAGAAAACAAAATAAAACACAAACAAGAACAGAAAAAGAAAGTCATCATAGTTAGACATCTCATTCTCTCTTCACAGTGACCGAGAGCAATGAAGCTCGTGACATACCACTTCTGAAATCCTCCGCCGTTTCCACTTCATCGTTTAACCCAGTTTCTTCAAATTTCAACCAATCCAATGGAAATCAATGACTAGAAAGCATCTCCAAGAGTCTTGCCTGTGAAAGAGCAAAAACAAGCCATCAAAGAAGCATGAAGAAAGGTAGAGAGAGAAAGGCCTGTAGGCAAGAACCAACCCGTAAATACCAGTAGAGAGAGAACAAATAGACAATGGAGAGAGAGAGAAAAAAATGAAGAGAAGAGTTCTTGAGGGGGGTTTCAATGGTTCGATCAGATCGAACCCCAAAGACAGATAGAGAAAGAGAGAGAGAGAGAGAGAGAGAGGAGGAGAGAGAGAGAGACTATACAAGTAGGACGAACGAAACGACGAACGTAACTAACGTACGAACGAACCGACCTAGGTGGGTCGACTAGTTCGGTACGTAATTT